CAACGGAAACTGCCCTTGCAATTACGCCATATTCTTGTAGTGTATCTTGTAATTTGTATATTAAACAATTATAGAAATTATATATTAATAATCTATATGTTAAGACAAATCAAACAAGATTACACATGACTATATTTAGGCTTACACATTGAGAGAATTTGATGAGTCAAAGTGCTTAGATGAACAGTTCCAAAAGTCAAAAGTGGACGGATACTCCGGGACGGACGGAGTATTTGTTTGTGATTCCAGCATTTTCCAAGATTAAAATAGGAGTAAAACATAAAAAATGTAAGAAAAAGTAATATGTCTTCCAAAAAATAGGACTTACAATGAAAATAAAATGTCAATCCTTAAAGAAAAAATAGGTTTGATTACATTATACTACATGTCTGATATTTAAAACAAAATCTTGTAATATAAAGTATAATTACAAATATACTCCCTCCGTCCCAAAAAGATTTACAAAAATTACGTCCCACAATCTTCTATCCATTTCTATTAAAAAACCACTTTTACCCTTTACTTTTTCAAACCCTACCTATCACATCATACATTTTTCCTAATAATCTACACATCACATCCTACTTTTACCCATCACATCAAGAGTATTTTTGGAAAGTCAACACAAAATTATCACTTCCTTAATTTCAACTTTAGTCAAAATGTGTAAATCTTTTTGGGACGGAGGTAGTATTAGTTATAATATGTACTGCATAAATAAATTGAGGTGCAACGTAACCACGAAAACTTTTTAAAATTGACATATTGATATTTATGCTAACTTTATATTATAATTTTTTTTTTTTGCAAAACTACTTTTTTGTATTTGAAAAATAAAAATACTTTTTTATCTTAAAGGCATTCATTAAAATAACGTGATGATGATGGTGATAATGATGATGATGATGATGATGATGATAATAATAATAATAATAATAATAATTTATAATAACAAGAATTAGAATCAGAATAATATAAAAATAAACTAAAATAAATTTATTTTAAAGTTTTTTTTAGATTTTCTAATTTTTTTAAAGCATTTCAAGTTTCTTCCAATCCTTTCAGTTTTTTCCAGTTTCTTCCGGTTTCTTCCAGTTTCTTCCAGTTGCTTCTAATTTCTTCCAGTTCCTTCTAGTTTTTTCCAGTTTCTTCCAATATCTGGATTTTTTCAGTCCTAAAGAACATGCTCTATATACATAACCAAAAGTATAGTAAACTACTCATGTACAGTGCCATATTAATACAATGCAAACTCTTACTTAGTGAATAAAAATATGGAACTCCTATTATGATATTTTCACTATATTTTACTCTTATTTAGGTTGTTTTCTTTCTACCATACCTCCTCTACTCTATAAATATTTTGTGAATGAGAGAGGAGATGACATTCACTTCGACTCCCACGAACTAGTTCACTCTTGAAATAGAAATAGAAATATATTCAAACACGTGAGATCTCCCTTGATTTAACTCATTCTTTGCGTGTTCTTTACTTTCCTTCTCGTTTTTACTTACTCAGTTACGTTCTTTTTCTAACTCGGCTGCTTACATACTTTTTCTACCCGGTAGAATTTACACCATCAATTCATTCATATTCACTAATCTCTCATCCATTCCCCCATTGTTTGAGTAGTGATTCAGAAAGGAATCTTTTTGTTTAAAATTTTATTCAGTGTTTTATAAAGAGTTAAAAATCACATGTAGTTCGAGAATTTCTGAAGATGCCATTTTGGAAGAAAAAATGGCAGCACTTTGTTTTGTTTAGCAGTGTTGTTATAGGTAGGTTCATTATTGGGTGACAGTTTCTTCACACTCCAACTGGGAAATTATGCCTTAATTTGACAAATGATAGCTACGGTATTGCAAAGTAGACCCCTACTTATAGCCTTCTTTATGCTGATTAATGCATTATGCATAATTGAAGTTTTGATTTACCACCAACCAGCTCTAGTAACCTATGGGCCCTATGACATATTACCACCCCAAATCACATTCTCGAATGCATGTAATACTCCCTCCGTCCTATAATGATCTTCCCAGAGTACTATTCCAACTTCACGAAAATTTATATTTATTTATGTTTTTTCATGGCCTATATGATTAAATAAAATATTCTTGTCACCACTTGTTTTGTTGAACTTTTGGTATAGTTTTTAAATACGTATGTTTTATTTTTTATTTCTATACCAATATTTAAATAAAATAGATTGAAAAAACTTGGGATTTTTCTTCGTTTTGCGAACCGGGAAGATCATTATAGGAGGGAGGGAGTAATAAAGAACAATGTTAGGGGTACACCTTTGGTGTACCTCATTTGTCCTCCACCCCTTTCTCCACCACTCATTTTTACCACATTTTTATTTATTTAAATTTTTTAAATTTCTTGCCCATTTTTGTGGTAATGGAGGGGGTAAGGGATAAATGGGGTACACCAAAGGTGTACCCCTATCATTTTTCAATAATAAATTAATGGCCCGAGAATATACCGCAAAATCTCAATCATATATCTATACACACATACACACCCCACACACACACAGATATATATATATATATATATATATATATATATATATATATATATATATATATATATATATATATATATATATATATATGCCGGTGGGCGTTGCGCAGTTGGCAAGACAAGGGATACCAAGGAGTAAGATAGAGTTTGATTACTGACAACTACGCTGAGAGGCAACTATGCTAAACATATGGGCTCTTCTGCAACTACCAGGTGCAGGCTCCACTCTTTCCACTAATCTACAATTAAAGTCTTATTTACCTCCTCCCAGTGACTGTCCGGGCGTGTCTGGGAGCCCTAGTGGATGGGGCTCATCCTTTTTTTAATAAAATAAAGTTAATTACATCACCCACCCCATTAATAAACAAAGTGACCGAAACCAAGCCACCATCAAACACTCTCCCATGCAAAGTAATTAATATCACATTTCTCTATAAAATGACCTTCCACCATCAGGCGTGTTCCCCCATTTCTCTGCCCATTTCTAACCCGAGCCCATAACATTTATGCGGGAATTTTTACTATTTATCTTTTACACATTAGCTTTGTATATATAAAGATGATTTAAATAAGAATAAATAATACTCCATCTGTCCCTAAATGACTTACATACTTTACTATTTAAAAATTGCAAAAACTTTTATTTTTTGTGTTTTCATTGATTATTTTATGAAATAAAATATTCTCGTCACTTCTTGTTTTGTACTTCTTCCGTCCCAAAAAGAATTTCCTACTTTGATTAACGTGCAAAATCCCGTGGATTTTAAAATGATTTTAATTGCAAATTGGTAAGGAAATAATACATAAAAAAATTATATTTAAAAACTACATTGAAAGCTCTACAAAATAAGAGGTGACAAAAATATTTTATTTTATCAAATGATCAATCAAAACACTCAAACAAATAAGAATTATCGAGAGGCCGTAATAGTAAACAGGAAAGACTTTTTGGGACGGAGAAGTAGAATTTTTGATATACTTTTTGAATATGTAATTATTTTTATTTTTATACAAATCTTTAAATAAAATAAATGTAAAAAATTTGAAATTTTAATTTGTTTTGCATAAAGTGTAAATCATTTAGAGACGGGAGGAGTAAGAAATAAGAATATGTTCAAGAGAACAAACTTTAACCCGTATCACACCATATTTTATCATTATTAATCTATCCATTATATCATTCTTTTTAAAGGTAAATTAGAAAGTCAACTACAAATTTTATACTACTTATTTTTGCCAAAAATAAAAAGGAAAGTGTTTTTCAAAATGGAGGGAGCATCATTTCAAAAAAGTATTATATTAGCGGGTTGATCAAATTAGGTTTGAACTCGGTCAGATTTGACTGTTCTTATTAGGTCATTTCGAGTTCAGTCAACTTCGAACTCGGTAAACAAAATCTTTTTCAAAACCTAAATTTTTTAAGGTTGATTTCACGTTTAAAAAATAATAGGTTGAATCATTTTTTGTTACGTCTAGTTAGGTTCAGGGTCTGTTTAGAAATAATTTTTTTCGATGATCTTTAGAGTTCTTTTTATAATTTTAATGTTGCAGATTAACTTTGAAAATACTAACACTAAACAATGTCCGTCGATAGATTTTTCAAAGCACTAATATAGGCTCTGTTCCATTCAACTTATTTTTTCTGATCTGATCTGGTCTTATTTGATCTGATCTGGTCTGATTGGATCTTATCGGATCTGATCTGATTAGATCTGATCTGATCTAATTGGATCTGATCTGATTCGATGTGATCTGATCTAGCCTGATCTAATCTGATTAATTAAGATTTGATTTAAAATTCATAATGATAATTCATATTATGATACAATCAATATTTTTTTATTTTATTATTATTTTTTAATAAAATAAAACTAGTTAATTCATATATTAGAATAATCATTCATATTATAATGTAATAATTTTTTTTATTTTATGATTATTTTTTTATGAAATAAGAATATTGATTTAGTATTTTAATAATTAGTTCATATATACATTAGAATAAATATTTAATTTATATATACATTAAAAAGTAATTAAATTTAGATAATCAATATAGAGAAGAGATAGTATTTTTATTAAAATATCTCATCCTTATAAAAGATCAAAAGTTTAGAAACTCAAATTACAGGTATAAAAGTAGAATTAGATGACATTGTCAATGTATTTTAAAAATAATTTTTTCTACGTCTAATAATTAAGGATTACTTTATCAGTTTCCTATTTAACTTGTTTCTAAATTTATTATTTTTTATTTTTAATAATAATAATAATAGTTTTTGATGAGATCTAATTTGATCTAATCTAATTTGATCTGATCTGGAATGATCTGATTTAATTTTAATAAGTGTGCATTCTTTATTTAATTCTCCATGGCAGGGTTGATTTTGAATTTTGAAATGGGGAGTAGTTTTTTAATTACTCCGTACAACTTTTGCGGCATAGTTTTGCTTTCCACACGCAGAGCGGTTGTGTAGCAGACAGAGGAGAGGACAGAGGCGAACCTCGACGGCGAGACCGTGAGTCGAGGTGAGTGGTGACCGGAAAAGGACTGCGACGAGTGAGTCGGGTGACGGAGCCCACTGGCGAGTGGCGACGACATTCTGCGGTTCGAGCCTGTATTCCACTATTCCTTCCTACTCTACAAGTAATGCACCATCTCCAACTCTCGAGTTCCTATTCCTTCCGTAAACTGTAATTCGGTAAATTTAATTGTGCAAATCTGAATGCTCAAGTTGTTAGTTTTTTTATGCATATGAGTTGTCGAATTTGTGAATTTTATTTTGTTATACTGTTCGTGAATTCGTTTGTTGGAATATTTGGTTAATACAAAGTACTTCGCATGTTTTATGGGTTTGGGCGATTGGCATTAAATGCTGCCAATTGGCGTTTTCAGGGTGGCAAGGGGGCTTTAGAGGGTTAAGCGGAAGCAACCATCAATTCTAGGAACTAAGTATTCTAGTGCATAGTAAGATATGCTCCCCTTGTGTTAATTTAGTAGTTCAGAATTAGGGTTCTGTTTGTTTAGAGTCAAAATTTGTGAACTTGAACAATGATTGTATCAAAGTCTATTTGTATTAACAATTATGCATTTTTCAAATGTTGACTTAGAAGAACATGCAAAAAAATCCAAACTATTAGGGCTATTTGGTTGGGAAAAATTGATTTTTTTAAACTTATCTGTAAAGAATTTCTTGGAAAATGTTTTCCCTAGAAACAGATAGACCTATAGTATGAGTCGGAGCTCGGAAGGAGCAAATGTGATGATTTCTTGTCAAGGGTTTAGACCTATGTGACAACTGATTCACGTGAAGGAGAGTGTAAAAGTAATGAAGTTATAATACGTCCTATGTACTCCCTTTGTTTTTTTCTTTTAAGGTTGTGTGTAATACGTTGTCACATTTTCATTTGTAGTAATGAAGTATATAAGAAGATTTCCAGTTTTCCACAATTAATAGATCACTTATTAATTTGTTGCTTAAGTTTTACTTTTGAAGGATGAGCTCCGAAGGAGGAAGCTAATAATCCTTATATTATTTTAATCTTATCAAATTCTGTAAATCTTTTCTTGGCAACCTAAAAGGGGAAATTTGATTACCAATTCCTACCAGATAGAGTAGTCCATTCTTCAGTTTGAGGAAATGATGTTATAACTTTGTTTGGATAGAATTAGTAATGATCTATGTTTTCTGTTCACATGCAACTTTAATTATAGCATTATATTAAATCCATTTTTCCTCTAATATGATAAGATCCTTTGTGGGATGCCCAGGTAGAGTGCGTTTGTGCAGTTTTGCTTCAATGTCAGATAATGTGTGCCTTTCCAGTGATTTGTGGCCTGAAATTCTCAAAAGGGTTCCTGCAAAAGACGTGGGAAGATGTTGTTGTGTGTGCAAATCATGGAATACCCTGATAAAGTCTCCATCTTTCATAACTGCCCACATTGGATTTGCCCAGACCCACCTTTTCTTTAGGCACGTAACTCTTACTCCTAGCTTCAAGGAAGAGCACTTTACTCATTTTGCTGATGAGGCTCACCATCGCTGTGACCTTGGATACCCTCCTGTCAAGACGTGGCTGTCACATTTTCGTGTTGTGGGCTCTGTCAGTGGTTTAATATGCCTGTCTGATGATCTTTACGCTAACCCAGAGAAGGAAACTATTGTTCTTTGGAACCCTGTGGTGTCTAGGTATGTCGACCTTTCAAGGCCCAGGGATGTTGGCAAAAAATGTGAGCGTGTTATTGGGTTTGGGTTTGATTCCAAAAAGAATGACTATAAAGTTGTGCATTTGAGTTACAATGTCAGTGAGAAGCCATGTTTTAATGTAACGCCTCCTAAGGCTAGGGTTTATTCAGTTAGGGAAAGGGCCTGGAAGTCTATTTCTGCTGATTATGTGCATTGTTGTGTGCTTGATTACTACTGGTCGCAGTGTTTTGTTAATGGAGCTATCCACTGGCTGGCCTATGAGAAAGGAAAAAATCATGGTTTTAGCAACAATGCTTTGCTACTGTTTGATGTGGAAAGTGAAAGGTTTAAGAAAATGAAGTTCCCCGAGGCACTCAGAGAGACGTGCCCACTCCTACTCTCTGTTTTTGAGCTAAGGGGTCAATTATCGTTGATGGAGTATGAGGTAAAAGGCGAGTGGAGGAGTCGGTGTACCATATGGGTTAAGAAAGAGTACACTGTGTCAACTTCATGGAGTAAGGCGGTTACTCTTAAGTTGAATGATTGGATGGGGGAGGTTCTAAGACCAATCGAAAATGGAAGAATGCTTATTGTTGCTAGGGATGGATGTCTTATTTCATATGATCTTAAGAAGAAACTCACCACTAGAATTGAGCATGGTCATCCAGAAGGGTTCTATGTTGGGGCTTACACTGAAAGCTTGGTACTCCTAGATGACGAAAGTGGTGCATCTTCCTATCCAAAGAACACAAAAAAGAGCAATAGAAAGGAGTAAGTCAATTCACACTTTTCCTTACGATGCTTACTGTTTATTCTTATGACTGCAGTTTTCTGTTTATTGACGATGTAGCTTGATTCAACCTTACTTTTATATTTTATCCATTGATCGTGTTTCAAGAAAAAACATCAACATAAAAATATTTCATCAACAATATAATAAGTTTAAATGAATTTTATAGTTTTGTTAGTTTGTAAAGTTCAAAAAAATATTGAAAAGTTTGCACTTTAAAATATTTCTTTCTCACCAAGATAAGTTCAATATAAAAGTATTTAAAAATCTTAGTCCAAATATTGTGCATCAAATTTTTTATATAAATCTAATCTTTATGGAAATTCTAAATTAAATGTCAATGTTCTTAATTAAAAAAAGTAATGAAAGTGAATAAATAATACCACATTGAATAGACTAAATTAAAGTAAGAATGAAAAAATAAAATACAGAGTTGTTTTTATAATCAAATATACGGAGTATAAGTATTAAAAATGAACAATTTAAAAGAATAAATATATTCTGGTTTTACCAATCCAGCCTGGAAACCATCACGTTTTGGATTAGAATGGACCAGAATTATATCGATTCTCAACTCTAAGATTGGAGACCGGTTCAGAAGTTTGCCGGGCTAGCCTGAAACTGGTTTTTCCAGTCCGGTCCGGTTTTTTGGTTTCAGTCGGATTTTGTACACACTACACCCTTAAATTAGATTGCATCTTGAATTTCCTCGTGACATCAATCCATCACTGTTTCAGGACTAGGTTATACCCCGTCATCAAGTAATGACATACTCCCTCTGACCCCAATTGAATTACCTTGTTTGATTTCACGGAGTTTAAGAAAGTTGTTGAAAAAAAAAAGTATGGATATAATTTGTTAAGAGGAGTGAGGTTATGGGTAGCCACTTTTTTAATAACTGAAACTGCAAATTATATTATCTCCAGAAGCCTAACATAACAGCTCACAAACTAACGGAGTCTTAAATCCCAACACAAACAACTATACATAAAACAAAACAAACCTAACTTTCTACCGAAACTGCCACTTATTCTTTTCTTTTTAAGGAAAGAAAAGAAGCGGGTAATTTATTTGAGATTGATAGGAGTGGAAAGAAGGTAATTCATTTAGGAACGGAGGGAGTACTTTTCACTTTTCAGATAAAACTGCTTGAAATTGTGTCCCATTCTATGCCATCAAACAATCTTATATGCTATCTTTATTTATGTACCGTCTTGGGAATTTAACTATGGTGAGTGAGTGTGACTCAATTTGAATTAATGTTGATCTCGGTGATCACAAACCACATGGACAAGGGCTATAGGGGTCTAGGGTGGAGCCTTGTGAGAGTGTGGAGCGTGGTTTGGTGTTGGCTCTGCTCTGGTTATGGTTATTATCTAAAAAGCTTGTTTGTACTAATTGTCTATCTCTTCATTGGCTGGCAGTATATCCATTTGTTCTATCATGCTGCTAGTGACAGCGTGCTATGCAACGTGAGACATGGTGTTTTATCTGCATTATGAGGTTTTGTATGAATGGTTATTTTCTGAGTTGGTTAGGATATACCTCGTATTGGATTTCCTAATCAAAGCTATCTTGTAAATATTTGAGTATCCTAAATTTTCCTCAATTAGGGGTTGAATAGTCCTATGATAAATGTACAGACTTCCCAAAAAAATAGAGTTTGACTGCCTAGCTTATATAACCAAGGAGGTACTATATTTGGAGTCATCCAAGAGAGATAGCCAACCCCCCTCATGTTGGAGGTTGGTTCAAGTGGGGGCTTCAGTTCCGTGCGGGTGTGGGGAGGGGGGGGGGTCAGTTGAGCCCCCAACTTCCAATTTCAATTCTCAGGGAAGAGTATTCATTGGTTGTATGAGAACCATTGATGGTGAGACACCATTGTAACATCATAATTGTCGTTGATAGTGTGGATGAGTTTAGACCAAATTTGGTCTTGTGGTTCTCACCTAGTTTGAGGTTTCCACAGTAAAAAAGAGTTTTGTCCTCGTTCTTTATTTATTGTTGTTATTTATTAGTGATCTTTTGCGATTGGAAAGGTTAATTTCCTAGCACATCAAGATGTAGATTTATGAGTGCATGGACAACAAGTGGAAAGGGAACAACGGAGTAACCTTATTTTACTTCATGTGCTTCCTGTTGTGTTTTGAGATGATCTTTCATCTATATTGTGTTTAAATGTTTCGCGGTTCAAGTATTTTGTTTATTTTCCATTGTTGAACTCTTAATTGGTTAATATAGCTCCTTTTAATTTAATGTAATAACTTCTCTGCATTTTTGAACTCGATGCAGCCGCAGCAACAGTGACAAGGCAGGTAAACGTGAATGGTCTGACCAGTTTGAAGCACTACTGTAAGTCAACTTTGCTCTTGATATTATATATTAATACTGCTTCTCTTAGCTCTCTTTCAATCATCATCCTATATGATTCCTTGTTCTGTTGTTCATCACTGTAAGTTTACTTTTCGTACTTGGTTCTTGCAAAACTAGAGATTCCGTTCTGAGACATTTAGCATCAATAAGCTAATCATGAGTTGAATTTATGGAGAAGAAACTTTGAGTAGGGTTAGCTTATGTTTCAGAATAGATATCTTCACTGTTAGAGTATGGCCGTTTTTTTCATATCCTGTGTGGTAGCCAGATTACTTACACTACATTTTGTTCAAAGAATTTGGAAGGGAAAAGAATGGAAAACAATTTTTCTTGTTTGGTTAGAAAGGAAAAGAAAAAGAAAAGTTGAAAGAAAAGAAAAAGAAAGGAGACAATAAAGTAAGAAGAAAGAAATAATCTTTCCTTCCATTTTGGTAAGGAAAAGGAGAGAAATCTCTTTCTTTTGCCCTCCTTCCAAATTTCGTGAAGTAAACAGTGTTAGGCAGTTGTGGCTGAAATGGAAGTCTCATACTCCATCTGTCCCAAAATAACGTTTCACATCGAAATCAACACAGTTATTCAAAAATCTGATAGTGTGTGATTAAAAGTCATGCTGAGAGAGAAAGAATGGGAACCGCACAAATATTTTCTTCAGAAAGTGGAACTTTATTTTGGGACGGACCAAGAAGAAAATGTGGATCTTTTTTGTATGGGGTAGTAGTGGCTGTACGAATTATGAAGAGGAAATTGATCATGTGAGGTTCAATGATAATGAGATTGTATTTCCTATTGTTATTATCATGACATAGTCCCTCCTAAACAAATACGATTGAAGATTTATGAGGCTATTAATTTTGCCTAAAGAATGCTCAATAACTTCTGTAATATTGTCTTTTTAATTAAACCAAAAGCAATCAAGGATTAATGAAAGTGCATCATGCATTAGCTAACTAATAATAATAATAATAATAATAATAATAATACGGAGTAATAATAATAATAATAATACGGAGTAATAATAATAATAATAATAATAATAATAATAATAATAATAATAATAATAATTTGTTTGTACTGTCAAATTCTGCAGCCTCATGTATCAAGACACAAGAACTGCAACCCAAATGCAAAAGCTGCAATGGGTGTTTTGAAGTTTCGGATTCTGTTCAAGTGTTATAACAATTCTAAGAGTACAACATATGTTTTTGGTATTGGAATGTTGATGTTTTTTTGGGGGAGTTCGCAGGTTTTAAGAATGCATAATTAAGGTGTTGTTCTGCTAGACAGTTTCTATTTTCAGATATTATGAATCTGAAGTAGTATTATCTAATTTGGCAAGATATGACTTCCTTTGGTTCAATTGTGTTTTTTATTTTAGCTATTTTGGGATGTTTTAATATCTTGTTATATTAGTGCTTCGTACTTGTTTTTTTTAAGAAAAAGTCCGATTATTATTTTTTTAAGAAAAGAGAATTTGCCCATATTAATTTGTTGAGAAAAAATTATCAGGTTTGATGGTAGTAAAAATTTTCCCCAAATTCCACCAAGGGCGCCAACAACAACCTCACACATATCATTAAGCCCTATCGAATGGACCTTCATTTTGAGTACTTGAATTCAATGGTATACTTTTCATGTGTTTTTAATATTTTATGAAAGAAATGATAATATATGTCGAGCTTCCAATCCGGTGTATATTTACCTCATTCTTTCTCAATTTAAAAACAAATATCCAAAGGTAATAGAGGTATTTCACTAGTTAACTATTTTTTACTCCATCTGTCCCATTTTAAATTGTCTGTTTGCCTTTTTTCTTCGTCCCAAAATAAATAGTCTGTTAGTTATTTTCGTAAACTTTTAAAAATAAAATACCTAAATAATTCCTAAAATAAGTCACTCTTCTTCACCTTATCTTCTCATTCGTTGTCACCCCTCTTAAAAAGTAATGACAATTTCGAAAAATCAATTTTATTTTTTATTTTCTTTAAATATGTCCAAAAGTCAAAATAGGCGATTTAAATTGGGACGGAGGGAGTATGAAAGAAATGGTAATATATGTCGAGCTTCAGATCCGGTGTATATTTACCTCATTTATGCCAATGCGATCATTTCCCGTGATTTTAGCGACCATCTTCTGTTTTTCTGCATCGTAATTATTCATGTTCTTTGTATCCATTGAATTTATGTTTACATGTTGAATTTTTCATCTCTTCCTTGAGATTCTTACGGCTTTCATATGTTGGGTGTCTACTTGTTGAGTCGGTTACATGTGACATCTTGTTATCTTTACAATTAGAGAGTAGATTTTCTTATAATATATCACATAGAAAGATAAGGGTGAGCGTTTTAACCAAGTCGACCATAGAATCCTTCACCGAAAACTGAATTTACCAAAACTTCAGTTTTGGTGTTGATTATCAAGTGTAAAATAATACTACCTTCATCCTAGAATATTTGTCCACTTTCATTTTTACACATCATCCAATACACTTCTTTAATCCATTTTATCTTGTAATTTGTATATTAAAAAATTATAGAAATTATATATTAATAATCTATATGTTAAGATAAATCAAACAAGATTACACATGACTATATTTAGACTTACACATTGAGAGAATTTGATGAGTCAAAGTGCTTAGATGAACAGTTCCAAAAGTCAAAACTGGACGAATACTCCGGGACGGAGGTAGTATTGATTTTAAGTTTTGGCGGTCAATTTTTTGTTTTTGATAGTGTAAAACTCAAGGCCGGCCCAAGGGTGGCTAAGGTGCCCTACCGGCCCAGACCCATTTTTTTAGGAGTCCAACATTTTTAATTTTTAAATATATGGGAAGTATATTATAATCTCGTTCCAAAGTTTAAAAAAATTTGAAACTAAATCTTCTAAGGTAGCTATTACGATATACTCTCTCCGTCCCGCTATATTCGTCCACTTTTGACTTTTGGAACTGTTCATCTAAGCACTTTGACTCATCAAATTCTCTCAATGTGTAAACCTAAATATAGTCACGTGTGATCTTGTTTGATTTGTCTTAACATATAGATTATTAATATATAATTTCTATAATTTTTTAATATACAAATTACAAGATAAAATGGATTAAAGAAGTGTATTGGATGGTGTGCAAAAATGAAAGTGGACAAATACTCTGGGACAAATGTAGTATAATTATAATACAATAATTTTGTTATGTATATTACTATGATAGTAATTATTGTTTTAACGAAAATAATTTATACTCCGTATAATTTAATTTATTAGCATCAATCCCTTTTTTTATCGTCTCGTCCAAGGCACTCGAACCTTCAGAGTCGAGCCTGGTAAAATGAAACTGATCAAAAAAATGATATTTATAGTATATACTTAAGAATATACAAATGAAAATAGAATTCGTTGTTTTTATTACAGTACTTGTTAATTGACCCTTCTTCTAAACTCATATGGAGTATTTGAAAAAGAATTATACTCCATATATAAGAAGAATTTCTTAAGTATGAGGTGCAATTGAAAGGGTGGGGGTGTGTTCGAATCGGTGCGGGGTGGAAGGGTTTACTGGAGATGTTAGGAGGGTAGAAACTGTCAATTTTATGAACAGGACACCAGAATGTTCCCGAGTCATACCATGACATTACTGGGCAATGTCATGGTAATCTTGCCGAAAAAATTAAAAGAAAAAGAAGGAGAAATGAACAACAAATGAAATATGGTGCATTGAAGAAAAAAGATGAAAAAAGGAATGAGTGTGGTCACTTACCGAGTTTGGAGTAAAGCTCACGCACATCATCTATGCCAGCCAGACTCACGCCTAAAGTAAGATGAGATAGTACTAAGAGCATCTCCAATGCACCCTTCAAATATTAAAATATAGAAGGTATAAACTATACTCTAGCAATTTTCTTGCTTCAACGGATGTTTCAAAAAATAGAACATCTTTTATAATTGGAGTTAGAACTTCTATTACTGAAAGGTGCTGCATATACTCTATTTAATAAAATATTATTATACCCGCACGGGTAGCCCAAGTGGCAAGCACTAGGGGTGTTCAATCGGATCGATCCGATCCGATCCGAAAATTCGGATATCCGAAATTTTCGGATCATGTAAAACTCATTCCATATCCGATCCGATAATATTCGGATATCCGAAATTCGGATATCCGATTTTTCGGATCGGATCACTGGATTATCCGAAAAGTTGAGTTTTTAGCCAAAATTTACAAAAAAAAGGTAAAATTGCAAAATCAACCCAAAATATCAAATTCAATATAGATTTACTAAAAGAAAAATTACATCACTAAGTAATGGCCTAATAAAAAAAATGATACCAAATTTGATTTGGGAGTAACTTTGGTAATTTTGCCTAAATAAACAAAAAAAATATTATTAAAACAAAAGATTCTAAAATGCTAATGCAAAAAGTCCAAAATGGTTGTGTTTCAAAATCAACATAAAATTACATTTAAACATATAGTCATAATATATATCCATAAAATTCCAAAAATATATAGCAAAAAAAAATCGGATATCCAGTTATCCGAAAAATTCCAGAAATTGAATCCATATCCGATCCGATTTTTTTCGGGTATCCGATCCGAAATATCCGAAAGCTAAAATATCGGATCGGATATCCATTTTTCGGATCGGATCGGCCCGGATCATGGACGGATATTTCGGATCGGATATTTTTGAACACCCCTAGCAAGCACTTGGTGAAGTTTGGAGAATGACCAAGGATCGAAACCTGGCAGCGACCGTTGTGGGGGCGACCACCTCTGAAAAATGGGAGGAGTCTCTGGTGCGCACTAGGATATGGTCTAGCTAAGTGTTGTGCTTGGGTCATCGTGATTTACCTCCTCTCACAATCCCGTCGGGTCGGCGGTGAGGGGCGCCCGGGGTGAGCGATTTCACCTTTTGGAGAATAAAATATTATTATAATTGGAGGAGAGAAGGGAGTTTGTGGGGACTGGGGATATGGTTGGAGTTTGTGGATGAAAAGAGAGAAGTCATTGTACATATGCTATAATAGAAGCACACGGTTGGAGCAAGTGGATACTGTTCAAAAGCTAAAAAGCATTATAGCAGTTGGATTTTATCTTCTTATGTTGGAGATGCTTTTATCCATATTTTATTTAAAAAGCCATGGATTCTCAATTTGGTTTTCCTGCCCATTTGGTGTTACAATAAAAATGGTAATTGTTCACTCCATATGGTAATTACTCAATTAAAATGGAGTTACACGGGTCATTAATGGAGTTACCATAATTGAGTAATTACTCAATTAAAATGGTAAGTAATTTAAAGCAATAATAAAATATTCAAACATAATTACACTTACTGTTAATAAATCAAACTCCTAAAATATATTGACCACAGTAGTTTTGGAAACTACTCCGTAATTATAACAATTTTTTCTCCATAACTAACGTAATTAATTTATAACATGTAATAGTTACACGGTTAAACAATAATAAACAATTGGGCAAATTATTCGGTATTAAGAGATGGTTTCAAGAGATGGTTTTTCCGCCCATATGTTATTGCATTAAAAAAGGGCAATTATTCACTTAAAATGGTAATGACTCAATTACATTAAATAATTAAATATTAAATTAAATTAAATAATTACGTTAAAGTGGCCTCCGCCAACCTAATTATTGCAATTAATGGCAATTAATAATTCACGGTACAATAAACTTACGTAATAACATAATAATAATACTAACGTCATTAATTTAAATTGGAAATAATTAAAAAGGAAAGTTAAACAATTTTAATACTGACTCGATTATAGCAGAATCGAGACATTAACAACGCATGTTCGGTATTAATACAGTTCCTTTTTAATAATAATAAAATAATTATTAAAAACTTACCAAACATGATTATAAAGAAATGATATAATAATATAATAATAATACTATTAATTTAAATTTGGAATAATTAAAAAGGAAAGTTAAACAATTTTAATAATGGCAAAAAACGTTAATGACAAAAAAATACCATTTGCGAAATTGGAAATTACCATAATTGCAAGTTGTTAATACCGTGTACTATCATTAATGGCAAAAAAATACCATTTGGGATGACAAACATGATTATAAAGAAATAATAATATAATAATAATAATATAATAATAATGTGACTAATTTAAATTGGGAATAATTAAAATGGAAAGTTAAACAGTTTTAATAATGGCAAAAAACGTTAATGGCAAAAAAATACCATTTGTGAAATTGGGAATTACCATAATTGCAATTTGTTAATACCGTGTGATTTATCGTGTACTACCATTAATGGAAAAAATATCACACGGTCAAATCTAAAAAAAACACACCGTTTAAGAAATAATTATGGTAAGAATAATTATTTTACACTTACCAAATTTCGTACAATAACATATATTATAAATGCGCTATACCGGGCCAGGAAGTAAGATTAATCAACGAGTGTTTTAATGCAATTCAGTATGTCAATTATAAACAAATGATCTAATCAATCTAAATAATAGTTACTAATTGAACATGACCAAAGCATTTAAAAATACATCAACCAAAAAAAGAAATAATAAGAGGCAAAGGTAATAAAATATTACGTTATAGTATGCAAACATAACTACACTTACCATTAATAAATCAATCCTTTTTAAGCAGTTTATACAAATGGGAATTGTATTTAATTATATTTAGGAAACGCTATTAAATAATAAACAATACTTCATAAATGGTAAAACCCATACACACATGTTTTTACTTTAGAGCAATAATATGAAATAATATCTAATAAATTGTTACATTTAAAAATGGTAATATATACATGTATTTTGAACGGTAAAGTTAATATAAACATGTGTTTTGGTAATAAAGTATTCACACACGCCATGTTAATAAAAAAAATAAGTTCGTATATAGGCTAATAAAATAGATATATTGGCCCTGTTTGGCATCCGCGTCAGAGATTAGCGTTAGTGTTTTGAAAAAACTATCCGACGGTAGCCTTTAGCGTTAGCGTTTTGAGAATTAATCTGCACCGTTAAAATTTTATCCAAACGCTAACGCTAATCGAAAATGTTGTTACCAAACAAAGCCATTATTATGTTATTATGTTAATAAAAACATGTATTAATTTGCCATTTATTATAATAAAAAATAGTTAAATACGTACAGAGTAATGTACAGCTCTATCTTGGACTATTGTTACAGAAACTTGTGTTTAGTCATGGACAACTCTATGTTGCAGTTTCAAGAGTCCCTAATCGTAGTGGGTTGAAGATTTTTATATGCAATGAAGACAATATTTCTACAAATTGTACAAATAATGTAGTCTATAAAGAAGTCTTTTGAAATTTGTAAAAAAGTGATGTTTTGTACCTTAAAATAATATAATCTCTATATTATATTATATCTCATTTTTTATCATTGAAAAATAATCTAAATTTAATTACATAAAACTGACTCGTGCAACGCACGGGTGTGATACTAGTAGAGCGTAATAAGCAAAACGGAGCTGGCGGATTATTCTCCTACATTTGAACAAAACACATTTTAATATTTATTTTATGTAATCATATTTTTTATTTTTTTAAATTAAACTAATTTATGCTTATGATTTAAAAAAATAAAGCATGTTTACAAAAATCAAAATTGAAATTAGGGTTACTTGTAACGTATTTGTATGATTCTTTAAAGCAATCTTATTTTTAGTTGTGCGAAAGAGTATTTTCTACTATGGAGTATAATTTTATTTCCTTTTTTCTTGAATGTGGTAAAAAAAGATAAAAAATACTCCATCTGTCCCAGAATATTTATTCATTTTCATTTTTACACACCATCCAATACACTTCTTTAATTCATTTTATCTTGTAATTTGTATATTAAAAAATTATAAAAATTATGTATTAATAACTTATATGTTAAGACAAATTAAACAATATCACACATGACTATATTTATGCTTACACATTGAGAAAATTTGATGAGTCAAAGTGCTTAGATGAACAGTTCCAAAAGTCAAAAGTGGACAAATATAGCGGGACAGAGGTAGTAGTATATTAAACAAATAAAATAGGACAAGCAATTGAACAAATTCTACATAAATAAAAATGGAAATATTAAAAAAATATAAAATAAAATAAAGAAAAAATATAAAAATCATAAAAAGAATAAATTTTAATTTTTCTTTTGAAAAATAAATTTAATTTGAATTACAAACATGGTACACTTACACTAAGAAATGTACCACAAAGTTACACTTAAAACATATATTAATATTTTGATAGCTTACCGTAACAAAAAATATTAGTCTAATTAAAAAAATTACAATCATATTTCGTGGATATGTGTAAAACATCACTCCCTAAATTTTTACTTAAATTAAATTTCTGCTTCCTAAAAATAAAAGTTAGACCCCTAAAGAATTCAGCTATCTGCCATGGAGATTAATGGCGTTCATCAAGATCTAACGGCGGATGGAAAACCTTTTACAGTCGACGGGTTTTTGAAGAAAGTCCTGACAGTAGAATTGGGAGGCTATGACGACGATATCAGCGCTCCCAAACTGTTTGCCGTTGCTCTCCATGCCGTCTTTCTCGAATCCGGGTTTGTACCGTTTAATATGAAATCCAAGAAACTAGGGTTAGGTTTCGCTATCCAGAATGAAAATTGGCGGAAGAATTCCAGCGAATTCACGCTTTCTTACACTGTTCCGGCTGTATTGAATCGGGTTTCATGGTTCGGAGATGCAGTTATTCAGCTCAAGTTTATCTTTTCCCAATCTGCTTTGAATGTTTCCGGATCTCGTGTATTCTGGCCTCCAAAGCATTCTGTTTCCCTAAACCTTCCCGAATTAGCCCCGTTCTTGAAAATAACCTGGTCCAATTTCAGATTTGATGATGAAATTATGGTTTCCACAGCTAGGGAAGTCTTGAACTTTTGGAATGTCACCAAGGATAAACTTGTTTCGCCATTGTTAATTGACCTGTGCACCAAATCAGGTCTGTCCCATCCGGCTACTTTCCAGATGTTGCCAGATGCTCTCAAGGTGGAGATTTTAAGGTTACTCCCTCAAAAGGATGCTGCAAGAATGGGATGTGTATCTAAAGAATTCCGGTCCTTAATGTGCAACGATCCGTATATGAAAAAGCATTTGATCAAGAATAGCCATAAAAGAATATCGAAGAAGTCTGATGGAATCACAAGCAAGAGAGCTTTTCTTCATCCCTGTGAGAAGAGTAATGCAATATCAAAGAAGTCAGATGGAATCACAAGCAGGAGAGCTTTTCTTCATCCCTATGAGAAGATTAATACATCTCAAAGGTATCCTCGTAATCTAAGAATTGATGGTATTGCACCAAAAATATATTTTAGGTGGCCATGACAAGTTTATCTAAACAATTTGTCTCTGTGTAATATTTGTATTTTGATTCTTCTATTTAGTTGTCTACATTTCCATCATCTCCGATGGAGCCAAAATTTCACCATTTTTTGGCTTTGGGGTGTGATGGAATAAATCAAAATGGATTTCTATTAATGAAGTAGCAGTTAGTCAAGCAATGCAACTTTCGACGTTGAGCCGGGGTCTCTTTGGAAACAGCCTCTCTACTTTCGAGTAGGGGTAAGGTCTGCGTACACACACCCTCCCCAGACCCTACTCTTGTGGGATTTAACTGGGTTGTTGTTGTTGTTGTATTTAGTTGTCTACATTCTTATTTTCGTTCATTTAAAATCAGTCTACTTTTCATATTCAATAAAGAATTTATGATGAATCGTCTAAATTATCTTGGATATAAGGGTTTGAGCATTGTGGATTATGCATTATGGACATGAACTAGTGACAAACATATATGAGGGATAGTTTACCCTTTACACCCAACCCCGGTGTCATATTGTGGTCTATTATATGCTTTTTTTAAACCTCAGTTGGGTTTTTTTCCCATTCTTTATACCCCGTAGTTTTTCGTTTAACTGTTGTTCCTTGTTGGATCCTCATTAATCGCTAAGAATGTAACAAGATTCTTGACCTCTGTACAAAATGCAAAATCTGAAAGTGTTGAATTATTTTTCATGTTTGGATCAAAGTGATTATTTCTAGTTTTCTCATCATTACAAAGTGAATTAATCAAATATATTGCATCATATTGAAGAATGGTCCAGCAGCAGTTAACATTTGGTTTCCTTGTCTATATGGCTACCTGGTATGTACTTCTCTACACATATACTACTCCGTAGATGTTTTTTGGCATTGAACATCAATATATGTTATGACATTAGTGTATTTGAGACTCTAACGGTGTTATGTTAGAACTCAAATTGGATTTTACTTCTTACCCCCTAACTCTTGCACTCCATTGCCTCACCCTTGCCCCATCCAAAATCTTGAAATGCTGGCATTTTGGATGAGGGCTTGGTGAGGGCAGCCGAACACCGTAGGGTCTCAAAGCATTCTTTTAAAAATAGATTCCCTCAGACTGAGGCTCTGTTCCGTACGCCTGATCTGATTGAATCTGATCTGAATTTTTGAAGTTCTGATCTGATCTGATCTGATTAGATCTGATCTGATCTGATTGGATCTGATTAGATCTGATTAGATCTGATCTGATTGGATCTGATCTGATCTGATTGGATCTGATCTGATCTGATTGGGTCTGATCTGATCTGATTGGATCTGATCTGATCTGATTGGATCTGATCTGATCTGATCTGATTGAATCTGATTTTCTCTAATTAGATCTGGTGTAAATGAATTTAAATTTGATTTAAGTTAAACTTAAAATTATTACAAAATTTAATAGTTTTAAAGTATTACAATTTATATATACATAAAAAAAAGTATAATAAGAAAATCAGCTAATTATTGATATGTTTAAACTTTTTTTTAAAAATATTAAACATCTTTTCAATATCACAACTTTTTAATTTTTGTGAAAACTAAACAATCGGTATTAAAATAACCAAATATTAGAAAATATTGATGCTATTCTACAAAAATATCACATTCTATATACATATTACATAATACGGAGTAATATATTTCATGTTACAAATTAAAGATCATATAAAATTTTAAACACTAATATCCCTTTCACCTCTATCAATTTTGTCATAAACTCACCCTTGTGTATATTATACCATCTTAAAGTTTAAAAGCAAGTCTTTTTAAGTATAAAATATTTATAGTTTTGAAAACTAAGTTTTCTATAATTATTTTATAAAAAAGTATTCTAAAATAACTCTTTTTAAAGTATTAAAAATAAAATTTGTTAAGCTTTAACATTGCTTCCATGTATCATTTCTATCATATAAGCTAAACAATTATTAAAAATAATGGTTTGTAGTTGAAATATAATAATAATAATAATAATAATAATAATAATAATAATAATAATAATAACAACAACAATAATAATATAACAACACAATATTTAAAATTATAATATTAATTAAGATTTAGGTGTGTGTAGTTTTAAATAAAGTAATGTGATTTAATCAAATAATAGTAATTATTATTTAATCCTTGAAAAACATAAATATTATCTTTTATATTTTTTCTTGATTTGATATTATTGGATTTGATCTGGTCTGATCTGATTGGATCTGGTCTGATCTGATTGGATCTGATCTGATCTGATTGGGTCTGATCTGATCTGATTGAATCTGGTCTGATCTGATTGGATCTGATCTGATTGAGTTTGATCTGATTTGATTGAATCTGATCTGATCTGATTGGGTCTGATCTGATCTGATTAGGTCTGGTCTGATCTGATCTGATCTGATTTTGATAAGAATAAGTAATAAGTAGAAAAAATAAGTCCTACGGAACGGACCCTGATAACTCATGTTCTAGATCGTGTCCTTCAACGAATGCATCTCCAATTTTCAAAATATGTTATACTGTATTTAAATTGTGAATAAGGACACAATTTAGTGAATGAGAATTCTGTTAGAGGTAGAAGATATGTGCGACTAAAATATTTGGAACGAAATAAAGTTGTTATCTTAACAAATTAGAAACGTAAATAATGTTTATAAGCCATTTTCAAAATAAAAATTTTTATAAGGATGGCTTAGCAAAAAAATTTAACATGCCCCAAAAGCAAAAATCATCTATCTTACAAGGACTAAAAACATTATTAACTCTATAAGCAAATGAATAACAAAAATAGATAAAGAAAGTGAAAAAAGTTTGACATTGTGAATGATGTACATGCTATTTAATTTGGGATATAACTTGTAAGGAGTATTCTCTAACGAATTTATCTTAACACTGAGATTATATCTTGTTGATAGATTTTGAGAATGTGGATAGAAAAAGAAAGAAAGAAAGAATTTAATTTAGAACGGATAGAAATAACACGAATAGTTTGATATCTCCCCCAACCCCCCNCAAAACTGTGTATTCCTCTTCTCTCTCCCCTCTTCAAACGCAAATATGCGTTTCTACTGTATCTAACTGCACACACTGTATTGTTTTTCTTTTATTGCTATTATTACTCCCAGGTTGTTCATTTCCCCTTATCTCAATATATACTGTACAATCAATTGTAAAGTGTTTCCCGTATATTCGCGACAAACGCTCATTTACGAGCAACTGATACCCATTTTCAAGCAACTGAATAATCATTTTCGAGCAATTGAAGACTTATTTTTCTAAAATTCAGTTATGCTCAAAAATGAGTATTCAGTTACTCGATAATGAGTGCTCATACTGATGTACAAAAAATACTGTACATCCGGATGTATGGTATAAGTACTCTCCCCCTTATCACTCTTGCGGTAGATTAGTAATGACTAGTAATCCTAGTATTCAATTACTCATGCCTTGGCTTCCACATTAGCAGAAGATGAGCGACTCTATAGAAATTATATTTCTTTGGTTGAGAAATTGTATTTTTGTTAAGCAATTGTGTGTTACTTTTTTTCTGCTTGGTCTTGATTTTGATTTTTAGGATTGAGAAATTGTGTGTTTATTAATAGTATTACTCCGTATAATTTTTTGGCTTGATTTTGACTACGGGATTTATTTCTTTGTAGCTTATTACTGGGTAATTTTTTTCTAGATATGTTTCTTTTGTAAGTTTCAAAATGTAAAAATTATTAAGAAAAGAAATACGGAGTATGTTAGAATATTCTTATGAGTTTGAGTTTGGTAGGCCAAATAGCGCCTGTACCCTCCGTGGTTTGCAAAATAGGCACCAAAACCCCCTCTGTTTTCAAAACTTATTTCTAAAGTCCTTGTGGTTTCAAAATGTTGCACCCGTGCCCCTCTGATCATTTTCCGGCCATTTTTCCGGCGAAGAAGGGGGGCATTGCTGCATATTTACTAAACCACAGGGGGTATCGGTGGTGATATTTATTTCTCGCTTATTTTTTTTTTGTTTTTTTCATTTTTCCTTTATTTGTTTCTTTTATTAATAAAGGTTTTTTTAAAATTATTTTTATAATGTTCATAAAATTTAAAGTTATTTTTGTTTGAAAAAATTAACATATAATGTATATGTACTTCTCAAATCAACAATTTTTGTTTTTTCTGAAAAAAGTAAACTTTTTTTTAAAAAATTCAAAAAAATGAGGAATAAAATAAGAAACAAAATAAAAAAAATAAAAATGAATATCTTTTTCGAACATCTCAATTCTAAGGACTTTTTTAGGCTTGCCATTTTTTTGTATCAGGCTTTTTTTTATGTATTTTTATTTTTCATTTTATTTTTTCATATTTTTATTTTTTTATTCTAGGTTTTTCTTTTAGAACTTTTCAAATAAGTACGTAACAAAAAGTGAAAATGCTTAATTTCAAATAGATGCAATGTATGTTAATTTTTTTATTTTTATTTTTTTTCAAACACAAAAAATTTTAAAATTTTAAAACATTATAAAAAATTGAAAATAAATTAGAAAAAAATCCAGGAAAAGAAAAAAGAGATAGAAAATATTTAAAAAAATAAAAACACAAATAATAAACGAAAAATAAAAAATGAGCATGAATGCCCTCTATGGTTTAAAAATTATGCGCAAATGCCCCTCTTCGCCGGAAAATGGCCAGAAAATGATCAGAGGGGGCATGGGTGCAGCATTTTGAAACCACGGGGACTTTAGAAGTAAGTTTTGAAAATAGAGGGGGTATTGGTGTTAATTTTTCAAACCACACGGGGCACCGGAGCTATTTGGCCGAGTTTGGTATAATGGGTGAGATGGAATACTCTTTGATTTGACATTTATTGCATTTTGAGTTTGAATTTAGTGTTGATTGTTGGAGACGGTCTAATAGTCTAGTATAATATTATGTATTATGTTATTTTTTTGGTCACCCGCACCTTTTGTTAAACTGTATCCAAAATATTTCTTCTGCTTGATAACTTTTGTTTATAAGAGTGTTTTCAATAGTAATTTGATAAAATAAAATATTCTTGTCACTACTTATTTTGTAGAATTTTTTTATGTAGTTTTCGAATAGTAGGTTATAATTATTATTTCTATGCCAATTTGTAAATAAGGTCATTTTAAAATAAAGTTGATTTTGCACATTTTTCAAAATAGGAAAACATTTTTTCGGACGGAGAGAATACTTATTTTATCTTTTATGCAAATTTTAACTAATCTCTTTTTTAACCACTCCCTACATTCCATAATT